TCCTACAGTAATAGTGAGCGATCGCTGATTCGCTCTATACTGTAAGTCTAAGCTGAAGCCAGCCCTACAAAATGATGCTCACCGCTTCTCGAAAGACTTCGTGATAAGAGAGTTATTTACAATCGAACAGTGGGTACATTTTTTGGGACACCCTGCATATAGACTTCGCTTGAGCGAGGGTAAAGCCCGTAGCGATAGCGCGGCCCATTCGTACATACCTGTTTGCTCCGGATAATGCACTATCGAGCGCCCAGTCGATATAAAATGACAGTGTGGCGATGAAGTCAATAATGTTGACAGGCGTCTTCAGAAATGGTCCAACTTTAGGACAAAACAACATCCGACATAGGAATTCACCAGAAAACCACATATTACATACCAATTCGACATAGAAGAACGATGGATGAGGCCTGAAAGCAATACTACCTAGATAAAGGATGTAGTATACTGTATACTCTACCTTGTGGCAGTTTTCCCGACATATACGGTCCTAGGGTGGCTGACATTCAGAGAACCCACGTCAATATCAGGTATTCGGAGGTATGGGTGCGTTTTCAAGCAGAAACACACGATAGACAACACAACAAAGCAGATGTTGATCAATGATATGGTCTGAAATGTATGATGGGTAGGTAATAGGATGCAAAAAAACTAAAATCCTATACAAAAATTTGATAGCATGATTCAACGTCTACACAGGACTTGAATAATTAGAGGATGAAGGATATGGAGAGGAAGGCAGTTTCAATGTTAATCATTTCGTCTTAGAAGTCGCACACTAAGTTCTCTAGAACATTCGAGACAAATTCTTCTGTTTTCTATTCAGAAAAATCAAACTTAAACCTTGCACGACTTCTAAGACATCAGCGGCAAAAGCTATCAATCACGATGATAAGCGACAATATTCACACACTGGGTATGAATACGTTTAGTCTATACTGGACTAACTTAACATATTACAACTGTTAAACAAGCAACAAGGACAATATCTGAAAAGTTTGAACAAATATTGATTTTATCGATCGAGGCTGCGAAGATCAGATTTTGTTAGAGCGTGTGTGTTATTTTGTTTATGTCAATCATACACATGCAACTTACCGTATATCGATCAATGAATGTAGCAATAATCTGAAATGTGGATAAAATGTATAAGCAAATCTCAGTCCACTTTTATTTCCATACATTCAAATCAAAGCACTCGTAAGACAAATGAGACATACAATAAATAATTCACATAGAGCGTTTGTACTTCGGTGTGATTTTAGAAAGCATCAGCAGGATGTGCAAAATAACGTATCAACCGTTTGTGCAATGACCTTTGTATGATACGCTTCCTCCCCACGTTAACTTTCTGCTGAGCTGGCTCCAGCTTAGATTTACAGTACGGAGCGAATCGCCTACAACACTACACTTCAAGACTCTGCGATTGCGACAGCCACATTCAACTTACAGCGTCGTTGTGAAATGGTATTGTTTCAGTTTTCGAGATGCGAAGCATAAGGTGGAGTGCAAAGTCCGCTCGAATCAGCCTAGTGA